TTTTTCTCGGAGCTAGAATCATTGACGCCAAGATTCAATGTCTTGGCACCAATGACACTAGCACTGACACCCTCGACCCCTTGGTAGCTAAGTCGTTGATGTGAAGGGGGTCGACGCTTATATTTTGACCCTTTCATAAAAAAATATTTTACTAATAGGTTCTTGCCACTGGTCTATTTAGTGCCGACCGCTCCACACCTTGGCTGCTAGGGGCAAGGGTATTGGCGCTCAGATGTTAGACCTTGGTGCCGAGGTTACTGGCGCTGAGAAAAAAGACCATTCTTGGTGTAAACTTGTCTAAAGATCTATTTATCCCTTGTGTATTGTACTACTCCATATTGTACTCCACAATGATTCTTGTGTATTGTACTACTCCATATTGTACTCCACAATGATTCTTGAAGGCTACTTTGATGGGAATGGCCAGGTTTACTTATGGTTTGTTCAGATTTCAAGACCATTGCAGGTAAGCGGCGGAGCTAGGAAATTTTTAGAGTCCGAACAAATCTAACTACACAGAGCATTTGCTATAAAAATTATATTTTCAATCCTACGATAACATTAAATTCAATTGTGTATTTGCTGACGAGCACAACAGTCGACCATCAATTGAGTTTTATTTTCCCTTGTTTGCTTGGTCAGTTCGATTGGCTTTCTTATCATGGCCATTCTGATCTTCTTTCTGTTCCAATGATAGGATGAGATTGTTAAAATCTATTTATGTTTTGAGTGGTTCCCAAGTGTTTTATGTTTATGTTAAGTTGAGAGTAGTGGTGTTTTCACTCCATTTTGTGTATTAACTGGTAGGGCATTAACCAATCATGAAGGTAAAAGGGCGTCAACTTAGCATAACTCTGCTAGCAAGATCCCTTATGGTGGAACGTGTCTCAAGTCTAAACTTGACACTGGTGCTTATATTTATGACTGATTATTTTTCCAGTGGTACACAATTTACATATCGATAACGAGACGTCTATGATGACTTTGTTAATATATCGGTCCAGTCTTCGGAGGTGCTCATAAGGGTTAAGTAGTGCGGGTGTGTCTCTCATGCATTTGTATGGGGTGTTTCGGAAAAAAATAAGCTAGAGGGCGAACACATGAATACATGATATATTTATAAATATCAAGTCTCTGTAATTATTCTGCAGTAGCAATACATCATAAACTCAACACAGTATTACTAAAACTTTCTATTGGCTACTAATGCAGGCAAACTCATACAAGACATCTCTTTGTGTATCTATACCTTTTTAGTTACCTAAAACTCAATATGCAAGCGTAGCAATTATTAATCCTAAAACCTAACATGTAAGTATATCACATCAATGTAAGCACCTAAATCTAATCTTAACATACAATCATACTAACTTATCATTTTCGCAATATTTTAATCCAATTCTATCCATAATTTAATATATTCATTTATAATATTTCCAACGCACTAGGCGTCACCTAGTTACTGCTATGTTTGAACCAAGAAGAAGGACTAGGTACATCTATTCACAAAGTGCCCTTTGCAGTATATGGACTAAATTATATCCGCCCAATAAGAATACATGATGTAAATCTGATGCAAACTTTTCATAACCTTAAACATAAGTTAAATGTGCGTTTCTATATGGACAATCTGAAATGACATTACCTGCTGGGTTGACATGAATTATTCAAAATAATTGGATTTTTCATTCACTAGCATGGAACAGCTCATATGTGTCGGCGAGGGATTCCATCACAAATCAAAGGTCAGTGATGTGAAAAGTCATCTTTGTTGGGTCGGCCGCCGTCACGAATGACAACATCATTGTCGGGCTTAAATAAAAGACCATCACGGATGACATTACCACCCGTCACGTATGAGAGTCATCCGTGATGGTTCATAAGTATGAACCTTCATGGATGAGAATTTATGATTTTTGAATTTTAAATGCATAAAAAACCCTAAAATATTTTAAATATTACTAGGATATTCTAACAATGGTCACACATTACTACTAAGAAATTCTTGATTTTTCAAGTGATATATGCATACATGTCATACATGAGATTCAAACCTAAGACCTCTCAACACATACAAACCAACCTTACCATCTCACCTACAAACCACGTTACATTGGTAATCAGATGTTATTCTTTTAACTATTCATGTCCAAATATGAAACACAAATTTGAAACTCTAGATGACTTCAAATGAGAACGCTTTGAACTACAAAGTTGCAGATCTCATCAAGCTCTACAACTTTAGTGTAGGGTACATCTCCATCCAAGGTCGTTTCAAAATTCAAAAAAAATATTTTTGATATAGATCACATCACTTGAAACACTTATTCGGAGATGAAAACAATCTTAAGTGAAAATATTGTCAATTAGACAGTTGTAGATCATAAAACCCTTTGACTTTGATATAGACACTATTACAAAAAGGGCCAAAGGTGCCGGGTCCTAAAGGGGCCATAGGTGCCAGATTTTCATCCGGCACCAATACTAGCAACCGACACTTATAAGGAAAATAGAACCGGCACCTTTAGCATTGCTCGAGCCAAAAAAAAAAAAGAGAGCCAGCTCGAATCCGAGCCGAACTCACCAAGCGTTGTCACCGCGCATGCGCCCATCTCAAAATCAAATTGATATCCCCAAACCCCAAAATCATCCACAAATCATCACCAAAATAAATTGATATCACAGAATGAACATATTCAACAACAAATTCATCAACAAATTCACAAAAACATCAACAAAAATTCTAGCGGGATAGATCCATGTCGATCTGAAGAGAAGAAAAAGAGATCGATGGCGGTGGCGGCGAGAGTAGTGGATGAGGATCCAGATCTAGAGAAGAGGGGAGGGCGCCGCCGCAACCCATCGCCCGCTGCCTGCCGCCTCCCCTCCCGCCAGATCCGGTGGAGGGGAAGGTGCCGCCACCGCCCATCGCCCGCCACCTCCCCTCTTGCGTCGCCTCCTGCCGCCTCCCCTCCAGCCACTGCCGCGCGCGAGAGAGAAGTGAGAGAGCCGAGAGAGAGAGGCAAGAGAGAGACAGACGAGAGAGATGGAGAGAGAACAGATAAGGTTGACTCATATAGGGGATAAGGCCGATGTGTCGGGCTAGATCAGCTCAGCTCGGTTTGGACAGGTGCCGGTTTTTAAAAAAACCGACACCTATAATTTATTATAGGTGCCGATTTTTAATTTACCGACACCTATAATATATTAAAGGTGTCGGGTTTTTTTAAAAAACCGGCACCTATGCTATAAGTGTCGGTTTTTCTTTAGAACTGACACCTATAGTTTCTTAAAGGTGCTGATTTTTTGTGTTTTCAGCCCGTGGAGGAGGAAAAATCATTATATGTGCCGGTTTTAGCTATTCCGGCACCTATAGTGCCGATCTCTATGGGCTTTTTTAGTAGTGAGGCCATGTCTCCATCGGAGATCATTTGAAAAATTCAAAATTACGTATTTCAAAATAGCTCTCACCACTTATAATGCATATTCAGGCGTGTAAACTATCTCAAATTCAAATAGTATCAGTTTTAAAGTTATAGATCTCATCGAGATCTACAACTTTCATATAGGGTAATTTGAGGTTGTTTGAAAATTTCAAAAATTTGAATTTTCCTCATCCGTGTCAGTTCATAACTACTCCCTCCATCCCAAAATATAGCAACTTTTGTTTGGATGGGATGTATCCTAGTACTATGAATCTGGACATTAGGCTTATCCAGATTCGTAGCACTAGGATATGTCCCACCTAACCAAAAATTGCTATATTTTGGGATGGGGGAGTATCACCCTTTACAGATAACATTATCCGTGAAGGGTAGTAATTAAGACCCGTCGCGGATGAGTGCTCTCATCTTTGATGGGTCATATCATTGCACCTGTCATGGATGACATGTTATCCATAACGGGGTATGGCTATGACCCGTTATAGGTCATCTGTGACATGTTAGAACTATGACCCGATAAAGATGACTTTAAATCGATGACGGGGCATGGTTGTGACCCGTTATAGGTCATCCGTGATGTGTTAGTACTACGACCCAACAAAGATAACTTATATCGGTGACGGATCATCCCCTATAGTTATATCTTAAGCGGGATACCTTTTGAACCATTAGAGATGAGTCATCCGAAATGGGTCGCATTCACTCGACACAGATGACTCGTCAATAATGGTCGGATCTGTACTAGTGATTCTATCCCTTCCTCCTTCCAAGTTCCAGCAATGGACAAGAAAATTACACTACTAGAGAAATAATTATTAACAACGGAAGACTTGGTCGTTAAAAGCCCAAATGGGATCGTTAAAGTTCATTAACGACCACTAATTTTGTGGTCGTACGTGGTCGTTAAAGCCTCCGTCGTTAATAGTTTTAACGACCACATGATTTTCTCCCGTCATGATTTCATTACGGCCTGTTTGGTTGGAGGGAGTTTTTAGGAGGGATTGGGAGTTTAGAGGGATGAGGCTATTAAGTGTTTTGTTTGGTTGAAAGACATGGGAATTTTGATGGGATGGGGATGGAGAATTGAGGAAGGAACTCCCTCCTTTTCAATACCTGGGTAGGGGCAGGTAATTGGGAGGGAATTCCTCCTTTACTTTGTCTAAGCAAATCTCAGCCATCCGTTTTTATTAATGACCTAATCTCCAACTAAACTCCCTATCAATTTCCATCACCTTTACCAAACAAGATATATCGAGATTAAAAATTAAATTCCAATCTTAATCTCATCATCAATTCCCTCGTGTAAACTCCCAATCCCCTTCCCTCGAGTTACCAAAACGGTGCTTTTTTGCCATCGCTATCTCATTAACGGCGATGTCTTTTTTACATCGTTAATTCTAATTAACAACCGTGGTATTGTGTCATCATAAGCTTTTTAACGATGGTAGTATTGCGTCATTGTTAATTATTTTAACCATCTCTGTTAACATCCAATGATTATCACCATGGTACACTATCCTTGATAGTAGAGAACCATACAATTGCAGTCTGCACATCTAGGAATTAACATGCATGCTTATCACCATATATTCTGACACAACCAACCAAATTTATTCAATTGAAATACATAATAATAATTTGTTTGGAACATCCAACTAAATAACTAAGTATTTCAAACAGAACTAACATCTTAGTTTCTATCAAAATTATAACACTCAATCTATAAATATGTGATTGGAGGTGCAGTGGACAATTCCTTTATCATTCGATCCCATCATCATTCGCAGGTATTGTCTTCAGATGCACCGTTCTCATTGTCTCACCATTGATTCTATACAACCAACAAAAAATGATACTAGCTAGTTAAAACGAGCTGTATATGTGGTACTTCATACATAAAATTCGTTAAGGCGCATGAGTTTACCTCTTATGATGTCATTTTAAGTACGCATCACTTCCATTCACTGCACAAAAATTGATATGATAAAACAACCCCACATACTTTAGAAAATCGTAGTGTTGAGAGGAGCCAATTTTTGCAGATATGTTGTGTGCACATTTTATATTCGAATAATTGTTTGTCCATGTTGAAAATAAAGCACAATAGAACATTTTGCCTAAACAAAGCTAGACTGAATTTATTGTGACCTAAGGTAGAATTTAAACCTAACAGGTGCATGTTCAAATAATTGCTTATCTTTTGCAGTAGGATTAAGAAAGAACATCTTATTCTGAAAAGAAGCTTAACTTACCTTCTTGCTCAAGGAATGAGGAATGCTTTGTCACCAACTAGCTTCATCTAAGTCCTGTAAATTCAGAGAGCTTTACTACATTTATATTTCGCAATTAGTATTGTAACATCGTTATTAACCCATGAGTACTGTAACTCATCATAATTGAGATAGTGTCAGCAGTAGCTTCACTGATATTGAATAGCACTGAAGGAATCATCAACTAGTTAAAAGAAACAATCCATCGGAGGCATAGTTATTAGGACCGGACCGACAGTCCAACCCAAAAAAACCGGAACCAGAGCCCTCACCGGTTTGGTTCGATTAAAAAACCGTCTGTGCAATCGAGTCGGTAAAAACCGGATGAACCGGTGGGTTTTCCTTTGAACCGGGCGGTTTTTTCCTTAGTAAACCGCTAAAAAACTGGCAGTCACGTGGACGTGCGTGGCCACCCTCCGCACTAGCAGGATTAAATGCCATAAAACAGCTTGACCATGGTTCAACCCATGACCTGTGCCTGGGAGGAAAGATTCCCTACCACTGAGCTATGACTTGTATTGTGCATTTGCTATAGAAATTACTATATATAAACTGGATTAAGCCGGTGGTCTGACCGGTTGAACCAATCAAACCGTGAACCAAGCACTTGACCGGTTCAATGTCCGGTCCAGTCCTAATAACTATGATCGGAGGTGTCATATTCCTATGTATTGCATCTAACTTGTTGTGGGTAACAAATCAAGCCCATGAATGACCGACAATGGAGGAACTATTGGAAACTTGGAATCCTACCTGAAAAGTGGTTGCTCCCCTGGTACTATATTTGGGCCAGGCCAATGGAGTGTACTAATCTTGGGTTCCTACTAAAATAGATTTGAACTGAAAATTTCTAAATATATAACCAATAGAATAATCTGAAAACAAAATGATGCACACCCTATGTAACACCCTGAAGATTCGACCGACAAAAATCTAAACTCTAAAAATATGGGCCTTCAAAAACTTTTTAAATAAACTGCATAATGCCGATTTTATTTACCTATTCCATTGAATTTTGATTTCGGAGTTTGTAGAACGCAAATAAAGAACAATTGATTAGGAATAAAACCTAAAATTAAATGAGCAAAATAAATAACTGAAATATAATTTAAAATAAAGGTTGAGGTGAGGATAGAAATGAATAAAATAATATCGCGATCATATTCGTATTAATTAAATCTAAATACGACGGAGTGAGAATTAACTCTAATTAAAATCAAGTAAATTATATAAAAATAAAATATGGGTACAATTAATCTAGAGTGGATCCATTGGTTGGGATAATACACATATTGAGTAAACTTCATTTATGCAAGATTTAGAAATTATAGAATCAAATTTATATAGGAAATAAACTAAAATCGGGATAAATGGGAAAATACACTGTTCATTATGGCATAGGTGTTCGATGCAGTCCCTAGCCTTCCCCCTCCTCTCCCACCTCTGCGCCCTAGCCGGCCTTGAGCCCACGTCGCCGCCGCCCGTCGCGTCGCCGCTCCGCGCCGTCGCCGCGCGCCGCCCTCTCGCCGCCTCGCGCCCCGCGCTCGCGCGTCACTCGCCCGTCGCGTCGTCGCCTCGCGCCACGCGCCCTGCCGCGCCGCTCGCCTGTCGCGTCGCCGCCACGTGCCCCGCGCCGCGCTGCCCGCCCGTCGCCATCGCCGCCTGCCGCGCCACGCGCCGCCCGTCGCGTCGCCATAAGCCACCGCCCCTTCCCCTCTCCTTCTCCCCCTCTTCCCTATAAATACTTCCCCCTCTCCATTTCCCCCACTCCATCTCCCTCTTCCTCCCCTCTTCCCTCTCCACCGAGCCACCGCCTTTGTGTCACCGCGCCGCTGCACCGCCGCCTTCGTGCCGCCGCGCTGTGCGCCGTCGTCGCGCCGCCCTCGCGCCGCCGCACCGCCGCCTTCGTGCCGCCGCGCCGTGCGCCATCGTCGTGCCGCCGTCGCCGCCGCCGCCGTCGGTAAGCTGCCACCCCCTTCCCTTGTTCGGCCGCCGTCGCCAGAGAGCCGAGAGAGAGAAGGGAGAAGAAGCCGGGAGGGAGAGAAAGAGAGAAAAGAAGAAAGAGAGAAGAAGAAAGAGAGGGAGAGAAAAGAGAAAAGGAAAGAAAAGAAAAGAGAAAAGGAAAGAAAAGAAAAAAGGAAAAAGGGAAATAGAATAGGGAGGTTAATAGTTTAGAAATTTTAAAATAATTATAATTTAATTATAGATTAATTATAGTCGTAGAATTGCAAAATTTAGTATAAATTATAGATTATTCTTGGTAATTTCCATAAGAAATCAATCCGCGGTAGTAATTTAGATGTAATTAATAACTAAACAATTAGATGAATTCTTATAGACTATTATAGATTATTTTTTGGGTAATCTCTATAAGTAATCGATTCACGGTAGAAATTCGGATTTAATCACTAGGAATTTTAGACGTATATTATATTTAATCGTTTAGTCATAGACTAAATTAAATCGTATAATATTATAAGATAATTTTAGGATTCCGTCCGATATTTAGCTCGCGATAGAAATTTCTAACATATTATATGGATATAATGCTAGGGTAGATTAAATTAAAAACTTATGATAACAAAATATTTATACCCACAAAATAGTTTAGGATATATAGATCGAAATTGGGTTTGCCCTAGTTCGCGAATAGTAAAGTTAATATAAAAGAATCGACTTTCGCATTCGACTTCCATTTGGATTTACTTGGATTTTATTTGAATTCTAACCGAATTCAAATCAATTTTTGCACGTAACTATAGAGCCCGAGGGAGTTGCGGATCCAAGTGAAGGCCAAGACCCGCAAGACTTTGAGCAAGGCAAGTCATCACTATTCTTTGAACATGTTGATCCCAATTGCGAAATTGTTTTGTTTACAAATAAAATCGCATGCAATGATGAACATCCTACTTGTGATTATGCCATGCCATGATTATTGTTTATCCTTAAATCCTTGTAACCATGATTTACGTATAAGTCCCTAGTCAACTATGACAAATGCTTAGAAATGCTACTCTAGATTTATGCATACTCATATTTATCAAATGATATATGCTTGGGCAATTACCTTTGGGAAGGTAATTGAGATGCGGCATGTGGAGACATGAGCGCCACATTGCCATGATATTGATGGCATGATTTGTGAAAGGAAAATGAAACTAAACAAATGTTTTCGACTGGGGCGGATGGAGGATTTGGGTGGTATCCGGAAAAGGCTAGTGCCGTCCCTGGTCAATTAAGGACCGAGCCATGAAGTTAAGCATGAAACGACCCCCGTACAACCGTACTTCTCGAATGGGTATAGACCTAGCGGAGTAGATAGCTGAGCGGAGGCAGTATCCATGCATAGCAGTTCCTTGATGTGTGAGGCAGGGGCTCTACGGTGGGGCAGCCATTGGTAGGACCGCGAGGCGGGTGTCTACAGTGGTGTCGCCATCGGTAGGACTGCCATGTGAGAATCTAAACATAATTATAACTTAATGCATGTGTGAGTCTTCACTTCCCGGGTGCGCCAGAACTCCTCTCACTGCTAGAAACCGTGTACGTCTAGAGTGCATGAGGATGTAAAGTTCATGGAGCGGGTACTGCCAATGCGAGGTTATCAAAAGGCTTTGCCGTGACGCGTCTCATGTGTTGGGACGAGGCTCATGTGTTGGGCAGTCGCGGAGTGCGGGTAAAGTGTACATCCACTGCAGTGTGAGTAAACCAAATCTATTCGAATAGTCATGCTCGCGGTTATTGAGCACCGGGACATGTATTACACTTGGCTAGACTCTAAATTCTTAACTTGTGTGGAATGGGATATTGCATGATGATTTCTATGCTGATGGAGCCACTTCCTGAGAGGCGGGAAGGTGGACGTCCTCAGAAAACCATGACGACTCAATGGCGGGAAGCTATCCTTGGGATCACAATGGATGGTGGACAGAACCGTCATTGTATAATATGAACACTGGTACTAAAATTTGATCAGTCTGTGCTAGGTCTTAGGCTTGTGAAAAGAATTACAAAACTTGCTTTGCGCAAAAGAACCATAGCCATCCTTTGAATACCCTTGTCATATGCATTGTTGTTGTGGTGGCTTGCTGAGTACGGTTGGTACTCACCCTTGCAATATACAAACTTAATCAGAGGTCGGAGATGAAGCTTCGGAGGATCCCTACGCTTACTACCAGGAGGGTGATGAAGACGATGGCGCTCAGTAGGTCTTAGTTACGGTCGTTGCCTGTGGCAATGGCGTGCCGCTGCCTTAACTCCGCTGCCTTACCTACTTCTGTTTTTGGAATGTATTCCGGACCGCTCGGTCCGATGATTTAAGACTATGCTTGCGGGCTTATGATGTAATAATTCGTACTAGACACTCGTGTATGTGCACTTAGTATTTCAGCTATGAATTCGTGTGTACCAGACTACTTGATCCAGGGAAATGGTACTGTTTACATGATTGATTCCTGTTATAAAAACGGGGGTCCACACCCTATTTATGTCAGGATCATTCAATCGGTTATGTCATATGAGTTTTGCTGAAAAGAGGTTAATATCTTGTGCCGTACTGCACCATTCAGTTGTTCTTGCCAGATCAAGCTGCCTCTCCATTGCTATTCAATGCTCATGAAATTCTTTAGTACACCGGGTGTGTTTAGATCACATCAAAATTGAAAGTTTGATTGAAATTAGAACGATGTGACGGAAAAGTTGAAAGTTTGTGTGTATAGGAAAGTTTTGATGTGATAGAAAAGTTGGAAGTTTAAAAAAATAGTTTGGATCTAAACAAGGCCCAATAAACTTGCATGCTATCAGGTCAATAACCTAATAACTCTAAATAAAATAAAGCAATCAGTATATATCACTAGACTATCCTGCAAAAAAAAAACAATAATCTGCAGTGCAAAAAAAACTAACTCAAGACCATGCTGCGTCTGCTGCCAAGCCCAGTGACTCGGTTTTTGCAGTGCAGCACCTCAGCGCAAATCAAGTACTAACTGCTTTTGTATATAGGGTTCGCGATGTTGATCAGTTGGAGTTTTCGAGCGTACCAAGGGGAGGGTGGTGACTAGAGATCGAGGAGAACAGGTGGAGATCGATCATGTTGGTGTCGACAAGGGCAGATCGAAGATCCAGACGTACGGCCTCAGATCCTCTCGATGGCGAGGTGCGCCCCTACGTACGGCGCCCAGCCTCGCTCGGCGCAGGTGGAACTAGAGGCGACGGCCAGCGACGAGTTGGGGTGGGAGGCGGCGGCCGTCGTGGATTAGGGTAGGTTTCGTACTTTAGCCGGCGTAGTTGGGCTGGGCTGCTCTTGCTGGGCGCGATGCTGGAGTCCCGTGTAGTTGTGGGCCTCATTCACGTCAAATTTAGGAATAAGTTTATTTGAGGCCCCTTAACTTTACACCGATTCCGATTTTCATCCTTCAACCAAACAATCAGGTACAATCGGTCCCTCAACTTCTAAAACCATGCAAACGAGATCCCTTGACGGTTTGGAAGGCAGTTTTGGTTGATGTGACGCTAATGTGGCTGGTTTGACTTGGTCTTCGTCCCACTTGGCATTTGACGTGGCGCTTACGTGGCAATTCGAATCCGGAAAAATAATAAAAATCGTAGCCCCACATGTCAGCTACACACAAAAAATAATTAAAAATGGTGGGGCCCCACATGTCAGCCTCACCCTTCTCTTCATACCCGCAAGCGAGCATGCGGGCAGCGACCTCAGCGAGGCGGCGCCCTCGACGACCTCACGCGCCACCACCGCACTCCACCTCCGAGGCAGTGGGCAGTGTAGGCCAGCGAAGCGGGGCGGGAGGAGCGACAGCGACCACTCCACTCCTCTCTCCCTTCCCCTTTTCGACACGTGGGCGGCAGAGGGCGCGGAGTGGTGATGCGGAGCGGCGGCGGCCATAGTAGGCTGGCGAAGCGGAGCGGGACGAGCGGCGGCCGACGCCTGCGTCTCGTTTGGGCTTCCACCGTTTGGCTCATTGATCCCTCCCCTTCTCCGAGCCTCCTTGCGTCGCCGGAGCGGCCGTAGTTCACCGCTGGAAGTTCTTCTTCTCTCGAAGTCCGCTGCTAATGCCGCCGCTACTGAACTGGCATCGTGTAGATCCATCCGTCTCTGAGGCTGTTGGTGATGAACTGTAACTTCGGACCAATCTATTCATTTTGTTGCGGATTACTTTGATTTGTGCATACGAAAAAAATTTCCAGAACATTTTGGGGATTCAGCTAGGTTTCCATGAAAACTCCTTGGTAGATCAGTCTGAATACTAAACCTGGAACTGGTTTGCCTTTCTTTGCTTTGAGACAAATGGAAGAGGAGATGGTGATATGTAAATTAGCAACACACATGCATTTCACCGTCTCCTTTGTCGATTGTTTTCGAGGCAAGGATGAAGTTGGGTTGCGTCGATCTCATCTGGTATACGAGGGGCGCCATTGAGATTCACATTCTTTATATGGCTAGCCAACAAGGGTAACTAGGGTAGATGTCACGCTGCAGATAACTTAGCAAAGAGGGAATGGCCACACCATCAAATTTGCTTGCTCTGCTCAGCCCAGGATGAGCTGTAGACACTTGCTCATTGGTTGTTCATAGACCAATTGGACCTGGATGTTATTGCGAGGCTGGATGAGGTTTCAACTTCCTAAACATATGCAGGTAAAGCTAAAACAAATGGTGAATGGCGTCTATAGATTGAACTTTAGACCAATTTAGAGAAAGGCTTTCGTCTCGCTGCTCATGATGATCTATTGGCTGGTTTGAAAGGAGCGAAATGTAAGGGCGTTCGATCAGCGCCCACGGACATCTACACAACTGTTCACCGACATCAGAGACAAAACTAAAATTTGGAAGCAGCTCGACCTTTTCAAAGCTCCTAAAGATTGATAATATGGAGTTACGCTGTTGATTTAGATTATGTATGTTTATGCACATATTGTTATCTTATCGACAGCTAGCTGTCTGTCAAAACACTTGTTATTTGTTGTATACATTTTAAACCTCCCTTTAATATTAAGATTCGGTCAACCCAGCTGAAAAAAATATGCTTACAAACTGCAGCAATAGTCGCTGTTTTTTAGGGCAGCAAGACTGTCGTGCCCGGATGAACGGTGCAGTACCACATCTTAGCTCATTAAGTTCGCTTGCTATGATCAGCCCATGATGAAAGTTGTAGACATTTTCTCAGTTAAATCTTCATAAACCAACAGGATCTAGACATTGTTGCGAGGTTGGACAAGGTTTCAGATTCCTGGAGACATGCGCACTGTCATCTTATCGATAGTTTTTCGTTGAAACGCTCTATAACCTATACAATACATTTGAAACCTTCCTTTAATATTAAGATTCGGCCAACCTGGCTAAGAAAATTATAATTACATTCTCTAAAAAAATCGCAACAACAAAGTTGTTTTAACCGAGAAGAATTGGACACAAACAAGTGCAAGACAATCGTGCCCGGATGAAGGGTGCGGGTACCACAGCTAAGGGTGTGTTTGGTTACCTGTATTGCACTTGGCCCGCATCTGGCATGCAACCTTCGACCTGTTTGGTTGTACACAGCCAGGCCCACATGATGTAAAAAGGCCCATGGAACCAGGATAAAAGCGGAAACGAAAAAGTACAATAAAGGTCCCTCATCTTGTCATCGGATTACAAAATCGTCCGCCAACCGCAAAACCAGATATATGACATCCCTCATCTCACAAACTGGATCACTTCGGATCCTTAGACGGTTTTGACCCCGGTTTGGTCTGACGTGGCAGCTGAGTCAGCGGGGGACCCACGTGGGCCCACACGTCAGGTTGTCCACGTCATCTTTCTTTCCCCTTTTCTCTCCCTTCCTCCTCTCACTCTTCTCTAGGAAGGCATGGTGGCAGTGCAAGGTGGGAAAGGAGGGCGGCGGTGGCCAGCGGCGAGCGATGCGGCGTCAATGTTGGTATTTCTTAACGTCACATATAGAATCCGCAAGCGCACTGAAGATACCGATATAGCTCTTCACCTGGGAGTATTCCAGAGTATCGATTTCCACAGGGAACGTGTGAGTTCAACTCCTCGTCAGGTTTATCCAAGGACACAAAGCTAATGTGGGCAGAGAGCTGAGAGGATTTTCTAATGAGAAATAGTGTCTACGAAAAGCTTAATTTTAATCCTAACGCAATACTTCAGGCACTGGCAGCCCTCTATTCCCAGATGTCGCTCTACAACGTAGCCGGACTCTTGAGGGTTATCACCACCTCTACACCCACCTCAAACGTACTGTGGGATACGCAGCAACCACTGAAAATTAATTACCCAGACACCACGTCTACGCAATTAATAACTACTCTAGTGCCCGATCACACACTAAAGCAATCACTATAAAATAATGGACTATAGTAAACAATGACCCGGTATGCTAATTAGGAACTAACCAAGAAGTAATTCTCACTAAGCAAATCTTAATTACTCATAATAATATTTCTATTAAAGCAGCGTAATTAACAAGATACAAAAGTAGGAGCAGATTACCGACAACTCCGGAATTCCTCCGATTTCTTCTATCTTACTCTCTCCCTATTGTAATATACGATAAAGTACACTATAGCCTCTTGTAATTCAGTTCATGCTTTGGTGTGTGTGAATGAGGGAGAGGAGAGGGGTATTTATAGGTGGAAAGGTGCCTTGGGAGAGTGGAGATGCTCCAAGCATCCTATGAGCATATTCCTTCTAGCTTCATCTCCTCTTGACAAGTGTCCTCTTTATGACGGTTTCCACCGGTAGAAACGGCCACAACCGTCATTGGGATGAGGAGTCCAACCGTCATACCAAAATTGGGCTGGATTGGGCCAGCTGGAGGGTTCGACCGAACCCTGGTTGGCTCCCCTGGCCCACATCCTTCTTCAGGATGCTGACATGTGGGCCTTATTTTATGGTACTCCATGTTTTGGCTCCAAATGATTGCACATTTTATATGTTGTAGCTTAAAACCATGTGAGTCCATCAACACAAAATATATTTCTATTCTTTATGCTCATTCTCTCCCAACTTTGGTGGTTGATCACCTGCATACTAATATACACCAACACTCGTGAAAATTGTTAGAAATAAATCCTACCACTATGTTGGATGCTTTATATCTATGGTTTTATGCAAGTATTGTCGGTGTTAATTTGGTCCTTAACAGCCGTCAACAGTCGACGACGACATGGGAGAAGGGGAGGCGTCGCAGGCATGGAGGAGGGCGTTGGAGTAGAGGAGGCGGCGGCGACGAGGGAGAAGGGTCATCGATGATGTGGTCCAAGATGGCCGCAGCGTGCGCGGTGGCGTCTCCGGGACGGAGACGACAAGCCCTCTCCACTCCAGTTGCTGGAAGTCTCGCCGGTGCGGTGGCCGTGGGTGCTGACTCCGGCGCACCTCGCCGGCACCATCGGCCGGTAGAAGAACCCCCTCGAAGCCGTCCATCTCTATGCCGATGCGCCACGCCGCTTTCTGCCTTCGGCCACCTCCACGTCATCGCGCCCGCCGTCAACGACCCCCAGCAAGCGCGCACTCATCCTTGTCTTCGACGGCCCGGGACTCCACGCACCCTGCACGCAGCGGGCTCGCCATCCACGCCACCCCCGCCCCCCGGTCCCCCTCGAGCTTGATGTGGGCCTAGGCGCGGTCGGCGTAGAACTCGGCGGTGGCGGGGCTAGCCTCGATTGCCTGCGTGTAAAGCTCGGTGGCGAGCTCAAAGTCATCGTCGACGAAGGCCGCCATGGCCTTGCTATCTAGATCCAACGCACCGGCAGTTGCCATGGGTGGGAGAGGAGGAGGTGAGCCAACGAGAGGGCGGGGAGGCCGGTGGCAAGAAACGGAGAGGGAGAAGGCGTGGTCGTCGAGGGAGTGGGGGAAGCCGGCAGTGAGCGCTCACAGAGAGGGAGGAGGTGGGGCCAGCGAGGGAGGCGGGGAGGCTGGCGGCGAGCGACGGAGAGGGAGGAGGCTGGGCCGGTGAGAGGGGTGGCTGGCGAGCTCGCTCGCTCGCTCCACCCGGTGCTGTGTGGTGAGGAGAAAGAAGAGGAAGGAGGAAGGAGAAAGTAGAGGAGGATGACATGTGGGCCCCACATGGGGCCCATCATTTTTTTATTTTCTAATGTAACTGGCATGTGGGCCCATGTTTTAATTTTTTTTTTGATTGAATTCCCATGTATGCGCCACGTCAATACCACATGGGACAAAGACCTAATCAAAAGGAGAAAATTGACATTATACCATTGTTAAAACGGGGTTTCGCTAAAATGCCACT